ATGCTCCAGTAGATTCCTGAGAGAGAATGCATACAAGGTAAAAATTTTTGAGACCTTTCAGGTCTGATGTCTTTTTGTGTACCTTCACACTCAACTAACAGTTAAGCAGATATGGAGTTTTTGGATGAAAATAAATTGTCCTTCAGAAGTGTCTTCTAGCTTCAAGTCTCGCTTTTGAGAAGTCTGAAATGATTCTGATTCCTGATCTTTTATGTGTGACCTATTTTTTTTTCCTCTTTGGAAACTTGTAGAACTTTGTCTTCAGTATTCTGATATTTAAAAATAAAAGTTTGTGCCTGGCACTTGATGGGCCTTTTTAATCTGGAAATATGTCCTCTGGTCTTGGAAACACTCTTCAATCAAATTTTTGAAGACAATTTTCCTGCTGTATCACTGTGGTCTCTTTCTAGAACACTTATTTGGTATTTGACCTCCTGGATTAGTCCTTAAGTAAAGTTCTCTCTCTCACACTAATATTCTCTCCATCTTTTTGTGCTACTTTTTAAGAGATCTTCTCAACTTCATCTTCCAACTTTTTCCTTGAGTTATTTCTGCTATATTTTAATTTTCAATAAGTGTGTATTGTTCAGTGAATTTTTTTATACCATCCTGTTCTTGTTTCATGGATGCACCATCTATCACTTCTGAGATGTAAATAATAATACCTTTGTTGAAGTTTTCATTTCCTTGGCCAGTTTCTGGTTTCCATTGAGTCAATGCTGTATGATGCTACATCAGTACACCACCTGTGTTCCCACATCTGCTCTTCCCACCAGTATTTTTCTCAGAAGTGCTGCACTAAAAGGACATGCAAAGGCGGTCTAAGGAATGACCAGGTAGCCTGTGCCTATGTTCAGGGAAGCTCTAAGGTCCTTTTGAACCCATTAGGTTCAGCAACTAGAAGCAAACAGAAACACTAAACTCTCCCAGTTTTTAAAACCTGCCTGTGTCTCTGCTTTTCAAAGCTATCAAAGCAAAAAGGCCCTTTCTGCAAACAAGCAGGTTTCATCTTGTGGGCCAAAATCAGGAGCTTGCTTCAACTAGCCCCCTACCTGAATCTCCAAGTTTATTTAAATCATCTCAATTCGCCACTTCGCAGAGTGGCCTCCCCGGGCCCTCTCCCTGCAGGGTTGGGCTACGAGTAAATGGTAGCTTTATGGTCCTCTCCAGGCATCTAGCAACACCTGTGGTTTTCCTCTGTGTTAACACAACCACAGAGATTGGTCTCCAGAGACATAAAGACTTGCCAGTCCCTGACAGAGACAGGTAGTTTCATAAATGTGTGTGCTCGGTGTGCTCAGCATACTCTCAGGCAAGGCTAAGCCAGGTCTCAGAGTCTGTGTGGCTGCACTGTCTGCCTTCCAGGATCCACTTCAGCCATGAGACAGGTACAAACAAGATCTGGGAACCAACAGATCAAGGAGAGGTTCTACGAGTTATGGTTATATTAAGTCAACAAGAAACTAAAAAAACTACTCCTGGTCTGACTAATTCTAATTAACAAAAACTGCTTCAGCTAAAGATTAAAACTTGGAGACCCAAAAGGAGGTTGTCTCATATTTCTCTAATCTATATTTTTTTCTATAAATGTTAGAGAGCCTTGGTGCTCATCCTTAGACAATCTCTCATCTTTTCTATTAACCCTCTCTCTCTTGTGATTTCATCCAATATAATAATTTTATAAATAACATTCTATATGCTGATAACTTCTAAATTTATATCTCCATACCAGAACCAAACTTGAATATTCACCTGTCTAATCAATATCTCCATTTATATCTCCAATAGGAATCTCAAACTTAACATGTCTAAAACTGCATTCCTAATCTTCTCAAAAAACCTCTTCCTAATGCAGTCTTCCCCACTTCAGCCATTTTGTTCTTCCAATAGCTCAGTCCAAAACTTTGCAGTCATCCTCAATTCTACGGTTGTAAAACAAGAACACTGGTATGTTTTATTCTTGATCCTTTGTAGTCTTATGTATTTTTCTCTCATGAGCTTTTAGAACCCTGTCTTTATTCTAGATATTCTAAATTTCACAATTATATAAATAGATGTTGGTATTTTCCAGTCATCTTGCTTCATACTCACAGAGCCATTCTAACCCGAGGACAACTGCTTTTCATCATAAGGCATTATCTTCTATTAGGTCTTTGATTATTTCTTCTCATCCATTCTTAATTCACTGCTTCAGAAACTTCTTTTAGCAGAGATTAGAACCAGTAGATCTATCTTTTACGTTGCTTAACTTTTCTCTCATGATTTTTTATCTTTTTGACCCATATCCAGCAAAAAAAACACTGAGCACAATCTTCCAACTTATTAATTTGCTCTTGAACTATATTCATTTTGTTCTTCAGCCCATCTGTAAGACTGTTATTTTCAAGATCTCTAATTTGTTCTTTTTTTAAAAATGTTCCTTCTACATGAATATGTCATTCTCTCTTAGTTCTTTGAGAGGTACCAACAACACTTTTAAAAGTTTCTTTCTGTTTGCTAACTTATGTGAGTTTCTTCTATTTACTGATTTTTGTGCTTCTCCTTCATAATGTTGGTTTTCCTGAAATGTCTGTTGATTCTTGGTTGTTGCACATCTTTACACGTAAGAACTCTGTCAAGCAGTCTACAAATGCTATTTCTCTTTACCGCAGGATGCTCTTTTGTGATCATGCAGAGGTCAAATTGCTGGACAAGGTATGTCAATAGTTCATCTTCTGAGCATAGGAAGTCCTAGTTCCTCCAGGTTGTTTCCGTTTACCTTAACGCTCTGACCCAAATTTATAATCAGTGTTCAGCTAGAGGGCATCTGTCTCTGCTACATGGCATAAAAGTTGGGCTAGACCCATATGCTGCTCCAATATCATACTCAACCAACTACACTGATATTTTTCCTAGGATCTTGAAGCACCACTATTTCTTACCTTTCTTAAGCAGTCTTCTCCTGAGTATGTTTTAAGTTAATGCTTCTTTCTTGAAATTGACCCCAACGACCTTCTGTCTTTCAAATTCATCATACTTTCTGGTCCTCCAGAAAGGCACCCTATTATTGATAGCCAGCTTTGCTAAGGTTATTCTGTTTTGTTTTTATATTTAAATTTTTTCTATATTTTTCTCTACAATTTGAGGTGATTCTAGGAAATCCCTTAAAACTGAAATGAATTTCTTTGCCATTTCCCCAAATAACTGATTTTTCTCTAATTTATCAATTAGTCTTTTTATTAAGACTCTACTTCATAACACTCCAAAAGAAAAAAAAAAGAGAGAAGAAGAGAAAGAGACCAATCTCATGAAGTCAATCAAATTCACAACCCTTAGAGTCTTGGGTTATCCTGAAAATTATCATTTTCAACAAAACAGTTCACTACAATTGTCTTCTTATGGAATGACCTGGAACGAACTTATAAAATATGTGTTTAAAATCCATTATCACAAATTTACTATAGATTTGACCAAAGCTAATGTTAAGGTTTTCATTTGCTTTTCCATTCACATTCTTAATGGATAGTAACTATATAAAAAGATATATATTGCATATAAATATATATTATAAATATCTATTACATATGTTAGTAGATACTCTATATAAACTATATTAACACTTAAGTAGATCTAACCTTTTTTCATTCATGTAATATATATTACATGCCCACTAAATTAAAAAAAAAAAATTCTGGATACTGCATTGCCTTCTGAGATATAATTCCTCTGATAAGGAAATTGAGAGATAAAATTTTTAAAAATAATACAGGTATCTAAAACACATTTCTGTTATCTCAAAATTTGGTAGTAATAAACATAACAGCTCTTTAAAATAGATGAACAGGGGCCGGCCCAGTGGCACAAGCATTTAAGTGCGTGTGCTCCGCTTTGGCGGCCCGGGGTTCGCAGGTTCGGATCCTGGGCGCGCACTGACGCACCGCTTGTCAAGCCATGCTGTGGTGGCATCCCACATAGATATATAGATATCTATATGTAATAGATATCTTCCTCTATAAAGTAGAGGAAGATAGGCACAGATGTTAGCTCAGGGCCAATCTTCCTCAGCCAAAAAAAAAAGAGGATTGGCATCAGATGTTAGCTCCTTCTGGGGGCTAACATCCTCACAAATAGGGCTGATCTTCCTCACAAAAAAATAAATAAATAAAATAAAATAAACAGAAAAGAAAGTTTAAATCATATAAAAACAGACATTAAAGAGAAGTCAAAAAATAGATACTTGCATTAAGCCCAAAGGTCACAAATAAAGTCCTTTAAAATAGAAATGCAACAATCCTACTCACCCTACTATGTCATTCGCTACACTGCAACTGTTGTGCCTGCTTATTAAAACAACAACACATAGGAAGTATTAAAAATCATAGATTTTTTAGAGTTAGAAAAGACTCATAAGACTTATATTTGATTCCCAGACCTACTACCCACTTGTTGATGCCTCTGGACAAGTTACTTAAAAGGCCCAGTTTCTGTAAGTGTACGATGGGATAGCATTAGCATTATCAGCCCAGAATCATAGAAAGGACTCAACAAATCAGTAACTATTACCTTCTGAACCAGGATTTCTCTGTCATTTTAACCCATGACCTCTTTTAGTAAACATCAAAATTTCTCTCCTATTTTTGTGCTAGAAAATTAAAGTGAATTTCCCCCCAGATGTAATATTGAATGTGTTTTTCCAATTTTACAACATCCTATCTAAATCCATTGCCTCTCTACTCCTAATCCTTTTAAATAGCCAGAACCACTGATCTTGCTAATGTCCTCAGATAAGAAAACTAAAGGCCAACCAGGGACCTCACGTGACTTGACCAAGGTCATATACTTACTTAACAACAAAGCCAAGACTTGAATCCAACTCCCAGGGCAGTGTTTTTTCCATTTCATTATATCTTAAAAATGAAATGCTACACATAACATCACCTTAAGTTTGTTGATTCTTTTGAATCTACTTACTCATATGCAGGGAGGAAAAATTGTACACAAGGTTTTTTTGGATTAGTTACCTTTCTACATGCAGGACAAAGCCCATTTTCATCAGTGCGAATTCGATGCCAACAAAATCGGCAAATCTGGTAGCCACAGGTGCAAGGGAAAAAGTTGATATCATCTATCTCCAATGGCTCCATGCAAAGAGGACATTCCACAGGGTCTTCCTTCGCATCAGGACTGCGAGACATCTTCACGTTTATTAAACAGCAGCAAAAGTTTATAATAATTTAAGGGAGAAGGAAGTTCAGCACGGAACACTAAAATGTAGAACTTCAAAGACCTGTGTGAGAAGAAACAAAATATACAGTTCACTAATGGAAATAATAGCATTTAGAACAATTAAGAATCATATTATCAAAAAATCTGAAAAATATTAATCAGACCAATTTTTGCTATCATCTCAGGAGAAACTTCAGAATGGAACTGTGAATTTTTTTGCATGTCAAGACAAAAAGCCTGGCATTATTAATTTTTTGGATTCAACAGAAAGACAAAACAACTTCCATTTTTCTAGATAAAACATTTAGTACTAACCAAGTACCACATCATAGCACATTTTACAGGAATAAATAATATATAGAAGCATCTTCAGCCTTAAAGCTACAGTAATTTAAATAATTTGATATTGGTATAAAAATAGACTAAAAATTAAAGAAACTAAACAAAGAATCTAGAAACCAAACCAAGAACTTATGAGATTTTAATATTTGAACATTACAAATCAATATGGTAAGGATGAACCAATTTATAAGCAGTAATAGGATACTGTTCTATCCACTATAAGAAAAGAACAGTACACATCTATCTCACACTGCAATCAAAATAAATCCCAAATGATCTGTCTAAAGAGTAATACATTGAAATAAACTATTAAAGTATTAGAAGAAAAAAATAGAATTGTTTAAAATCTTGCAAAAAATAGAATTGTTTAAAATCTTGCAATACACAAGGTCTTCCTAAGCAAAAAGAGAAATTTAGAAGCCATGAAAGAAAGATACAATCGACTTAGCAACACAGAAAGAAGAAAACATAAACAAAATTAAAGGCAGGCAACAGAGTAAAGGATGTATTCACCAAATATAATGAAGAGTTGGTGCCCAGAATATATAAAGAAATCTTGCAAAGCAATTTTAAAAACACAAATAAGTCGAAAGAAAAAATGAGAACAGAATATGATGAGTAGTTCACAGAAGAATCACAAATGATTACAACATATGAAAAGATGATCAACCTCTTTAGTTAGTAAACAGTAAGATAGCATTTTTCCCCACCAGCCTGTCAAAGAAGTTAGTCTCTCCATAAAGTAGAGATTATCACTGATCTAAGTTCCTCTTCACAAAGAGGAAATGGGAGCACAAAAAGTACCTTCCCTTAAATTGCACAGCTATTAAGTGGTGCAGCCTGGATTCATTCCAGGAAGTCTTAGCCCCAGAATCTGTGCTCTTAGCCATTTTATACCACCTAAGAATCTATCCTTCACAAATACTCACACATGCGCACCAAGCACTTTGCTATACATTTGCAGCATTGTTCATAAGAGTACAAAACTGCAAATGACATAACTGTCCATAAGTTAGGAAATCATTAAGTAAATAACAGGATAGCCATAAGGTAGATGGCTATCTACCTTATGATATCAGAAGACATCTATTATGTAGTTCTTTTTATTTTTTAAAAGTAAACTGGAGACTAACATTAATATACAATTACTTCCATATAAAGATATAAACCCTGTATGTGTATATATTTGATTAGTTTCTCCAAGAAAATAAAGCACATGAAAGGTTATACACCAAAATGTTATCATACCACAAAAGACAAAATGGAGGTAAGTAGGAGGGTACTAACTTCACTTTCAAAAGATCTGTATAGGGCTGGCCCTGTGGCTTGGTGGGTAAGTGCGCGCGCTGCGATGCTGGCGGCCCGGGTTCGGATCCCGGGTGCGCATCGAGGCACCACTTCTCTGTCCATCCTGAGGCCGAGTCCCACATACAGCAACTAGAAGGGTGTGCAGCTGTGACATACAACTATCTACTGGGGCTTTGGGGGCAAAAAATAAATAAAATCTTAAAAAAAAAAAAAAAAAAAAGATCTGTATCATCTGAATTGTTACAACAAACAACATTTTTGCAATTCAAATGGCCAAGCTTAAAAAAAAGAGGGAAATTATTTTTATCTCCTTTAGGAAAATTAAATTAAATCTGACCTTGTCAATGATTAGAAGAAAAATATCTTGTTATGAATCTATAATTATTTCAAAAAAAAAGTTTTAAAAAGAAAAAGAAAGGGGGCCGGCCCTGTAGCATAGTGGTTAAGTTCAGCGCACTCCCCTTCGGCGGCCCAGGTACACAGGTTCGGATCCTGGGTGCAGACCTACACCACTTGTCAGCCATGCTGTGGCAGCAACTCACATACAAAATAGAGGAAGACTGGCACAGATGTTAGCTCAGGGCGAATCTTCCTCAAACAAAGAAAAAAAAGAGAACAAAAGAAATGGTATATGTATTTATAAACAATTCAGAAATCCTAGTTTGCAGACCCAGTTTTGTCACCGTCAGTTTCCTCATATAAAAAATGAGGGGTTTAGAGCTGATTTTTTTTGTGTGTGTGAGGAGATCAGCCCTGTGCTAACATCTGCCAATCCTCCTCTTTTTTTTTTGTTGCTGAGGAAGACTGGTGCTAGGCTAACATCTGTGCCCATCTTCCTCCACTTTATATGGGACACCGCCACAGGATGACTTGCCAAGCGGTGCGTCGATGCGCGCCCGGGATCTGAACCGGCAAACCCTGGGCCACCACAGCGGAGCGCGTGCACTTAACCACTTGTGGCACTGGGCCAGCCCCTAGAGCTGATTTCTAAGGGCTCCACCAACTTGAATATTCAAAAACTGTACCTGCAGAAAACATAAACTCAAACATAGGTTCCACCAACAGGAAATTAAACTAAAATAATCGAGTGGTGTTGTCCACATTTCTAATGTACTTTTAATTATAAGACATTATTTCCATAACTACAGCTTATTAGAGTTTTAGTGAAGTAATTTATGGGATGCTGGGAAGGAAATAATACACTGGGATTTATGAATTGAAAAGCATTCTGGAAAGTAAATTACTATAAATAAAAGATGACATACTGAGGTTTTGCTTTTTGATTGCTTCTTTCTTTTAATTTTAAAAAAGTTTGCAAGAGTCATCGTCCAGTTTAGAGGGAGGAAAAGGGACAAAACAGCAAGAAGTTCCTTAAGATGGTTAATACAAAAGCAAGTACATTTTGTTAGCACCATGGAGAGATGCCATGTAAGCCAGCTGCCAAATGTAATCACATAACTGGTAAAACGTATGAGGAAAGTTGGGTGTGGTAGAACACTAGATGGAACACAAGGTAAAAGCTGACTTCTGCTTCATCTCTTCCACCAGGTAGCTACACGATCTTCAATAAGACACTCAAAAGCTCTAGGACTCAATTTACTCATCTGAAAAATGTGAAGAGACACAAAATTTAATGGAATTTCAAGTATAAAGAAATTTCCATTATGTAACCCCACTGAACTAAGCTTTTAAATAAACTCTCTTCCCTCCAAATACCCTAGCAAATCTTCATTCAGGGAAGAATAATTTTATTTCATAAGCCAATCAAGTACTATTAAAATAAAAATAAAACAGAATAAGTTGAAACAATAAGGTTCAAAGGTACAAGACAGAAATAAAAGATGTTTTTAAACAAAAAGGGAAGTAAACTCAATAACTTTCTGGATGAGGTGTGAGGGTTCTTAGGACACAGTGATCAGTTTTTGATTCAGTGAGTAATTTTTCCAAAAAAAAAAATGTTCATTTTCACATACACTATTTAATCCTCGCAGTGACTTGTTAAGAACATATTATTTCCTTTATGACAGACGATAACTAAGGTTAAACGACAACCCAGCATTTAAGTGTTAAAGACACAATTCAAAAGACTACCAACTTCAAAACCCACGCCCCTTTCAACGTAGTAAAACAGAAGTTATGATTACTGAAGTTGCGCTGTCTATCCTTGGGTATGGAGTACAAATGTCCAAAAAGTAAAAGTGACATTACTTTTTTAAAAACTTAAAATTCTACAGAAAATCTCTACCTCATGACCTGAGTTCTTGTTCTCTATATATCACCTGCAACTAATACCACAATACATTATAAATTCTGACATACATAATAATGCTCCTGAATCACCAAAAACCTCACATACCATGTAGTAGGTGTACAAAATAAAAATCATATACTCAAAATCATGCTCGAAAACTCTTTATCACCCATTAAGTGCTGTATACAGGGTTTTGTGCTTAAGACCCTGTTCAGAAGACATGCATAAGAATACACTATAAAATGTAAAAGTACTGCAGCTGGTGTGGAAAATAGCTTGGTGGTTCCTCAAAAAGTTAAAACACAGAATTAGCATATGATCCAGGATTTCCACTTCTGGGCACATACTAAAAGAACTGAAAGCAGGGACTCAGATACTTGTACACCAATGTTGACAGCAGCGTTGTTCACAACAGCCAAAGGTGGAAACAACCCAAGTGTCTGTCAACAGATGAATGGATAAACAAAATGTAGTGTATATATACAATAGAATATTATTCAGCCATAAAAAGAATAAAATTCTGATACATGCTACCATGTGGATGAACGTTGAAAACATTATGCTAAGTGAAATAAGCCAGTCACAAAAAAACAAATATCATGATTCCAGATACCAGGTATCTAGAATAGGCAAAGTGACTGACACAAAAAGTTGAATAGAGGTTACCAGGGGAGTGGGGGGAGGAAGAATGGACAGTTATTGTTTAATGGATACAGAGTTTCTGTCTGAGATGATAAAAAGGTTTTAGAAATACCAAGTGTCATGATGGTACGACATTGTGAATGTACTTAACGGCACTGAATTGTACACTTACGCAAATTTTTATGTTACATATATTTTAGCATAATAAAAATCAAAAAGAGAAAAATATACACACTTAAATGCAGTATATAATCAAAAGCACTTTTGAAAAAGAATTATTTGGTTGTCTTATTTTTTTTGTTTTTTTTTTTTTTTTTTTTTTCCCCCAAAGCCCCAGTAGATAGTTGTATGTCATAGTTGCACATTCTTCTAGTTGCTGTATGTGGGACACGGCCTCAGCATGGCCGGAGAAGCAGTGCGTCTGTGCGCGCCTGGGATCCGAACCCGGGCCGCCTGCATCGGAGTGCACGCACTTAAGCCACGGGGCCGGCCCTTATTTAGATTAATTAATCCTTTAA